TAGAAGTCCACTGGTTTGATCACCCCCCTGGTTTTTGCAATGATCTCTGATTTTCGCAAGCTAGCTACTTCTTATTCTTAGAAATTGAATGAGTAACCCCTCCATCTGTTTCGACGTTGAACTTCACTTGAAGGAATTTTTTTCTGTAAATGACCCTGCTCAGACTTCCCGTCAAACCAACTGAGTGGCCCAAAAGGCCTCGGTCAGGGGCATCCTCATCCAGTTAACGTCTAGGTTCAAAAAGAACTCGGAAGACATTATTAGGCAAAATGACTCAGCCCTTACATTGTTAATTAAGGAACACAAAAATAAACCCCATCTTAATTTGCAGGATAAAATCAATGCCCTCCGTACAGAATTTAATCTCTGCCTAACAACCAAAGTGGAAAGATCACTTCGATGGATGGCCGCTTGATTTTACCAACATGCTGATTGTCCGGGGAAGTTGACACCTGGACCGCCGATGATGTTGGTTCCTAAATTGCGGAAGCCTGATGGCACATTTACTCTGAATCCTAAGGCCATCCTCTAGGAGTTTTACACTTATTTATAAAAATCTGTACACTGACTCTAACTTGGTTTCCTCAACCGACTTCGAAGAGTTTGTGCAGAACAGGGGCGGACTGACCATTTGGACCAGTAGGGGGCCCCATGAGATGCTCCTGGTACCTTTTTCATAGGCTTTTTTTGAGTTTGGGCAAGGACACAGGGGCCTCATGATCCCCTATTGTCCTGGGGGGCCCCATGAGTTGTCAGTCGGCCCCTGGTGCAGAATTTACCTTTACCCTCCTTTTTTTTGTATTGTTCATCCCACAGAGACTTTCTGGAAAAGAAGATCTCTGTTTAAGAAATTCTGCAGGCCATCAAACATTCTAATTCTAAGAAATGTGCCTCTATCCTACTTCCACACTTAGTTCTATACTTTAATGCACTTCGAGAAGGAGCTCCCATCGACGTTGACTCCAACGGGGTCTTTATTTTCCTTATTCATAAACCTAATAAAGACCCAAGCGATGTAACTAATTACAGGCCGATATCACTGATTATTACAGATTTAAAGTTATTAGTAAAAATGTATGCTACTTGCTTGAATGGCTTTATAGCCCACTACATCCACTGAGATCAAGTGAGGTTCATCCCACACAGGGAGGTGTCCGACCAGATTCACCAGGCTATAGATCTCTTCTCCATCCTTCATTCATCCTGGGACGGGGGGGGCGGCCACGGAAGGGACTATTGCTTTTTTTGGATATTAAGAAAGCCTTTGACACTTTATCATGGTCATATCTGTTCAGAATTATGTCCAAATGACAGTTTGGTTTCAAGTTTCTTTCCTTCCTTGAGACTTTGTACAATAACCCCTCGGCCTGGATTCGAGTCAGAGGCTATACTTCAGCATCCCTCCTGATCGTTTAGGGTACATGGCAGGACTGCCCTCTTTTCCCACTGCTTTTTATTATTGCTATAGAAACTTTGGATGTTGCCATTTGGTCGCATCCAGATGTCCTTGGGGTAGAGAGTGGGAGGACCCAGCCTAAATTAGCACTTTTCGCGGACAATTTCATTCTTTTTCTCATTTCTCCCCACACTTCCCTACCATCACCCATGACCTTTCTAGTTTGTTTCAAAATTATTTCTGGTTTGGAGGTGAACTGGGCAAAGTCAGAGGCACTGACCAATGTTAATCTGGATGGGGATGTCCTGTGAGTTTGAAACGTGAATTTACTTTTTCCTGGCAATCACGCTCCCTCCCTTACTTAGGAATTTAGTTGACCCCTTCTGTAATGACTCTTTATAAAGCCAACTATTCAACCTTGTTTCCTAAACTGTGGCGGGAGGTGGAGGCGTGGTCTTCCCTGAGTCACTTATCCTGGATGGGTAGAATTGCGGCTTTCAAAATGGTTGTGCTACCCAGAATTTTATATTATTTCTGCACTTTACCTGTGGCTGTCCAGGCTACTGAACTACGACAGTTCCAGAATCAACTTATCCGCTTTATTTGGTACCCTACGGGCCATAGACTATCACAACGTACACTTTATAGGACTCGGGGGGGTCGGTGGCTTGGGTGTTCTGGACCTTAGGAGATATTACCACATGGCCCAGGTCATGCAGCTATCCCAGCTATATGCTAAATCATATAGACTTGACTAGATGGCACTAGAGGCCCAGGCCTGTGCACCTCAGCCTCGGATCCCAGTTCGGCACTGTGGATCCCAGTTCGGCACCAGCGGGTGACTCTTTGTCTTACTGTGTCCCACTCATTGCATTCGTGAGACACGTTGTGTATGACAGCACCGCTTAGGTCTCCCCATACAGGTTGCACCTGTTTTTCATAATCTGATGTTCTCACGCAGCCTCCAAACCTGGAAGTTCCAATGGTGGCTCGATAAGGGCCTGTATCGTATTGGACACTTCCTGGATCACAGAGGACTCCGCCCTGCTTAGTTTTTTGGTCTGTTCGCAGACTTAAATCTGATGTTATGAACTGCACCTCCTTTGAAAACTGGTGGTATTGCGGTCTGAATCAGAGCTATATAAATTGTTTGTTAACTCCACAGGTAAACTGTCTTATATGTTAGCATGGGAAAAGGATTTAGGGGCTTAAATCTCAGGGGAGGAATGGAGTGACTAGTCTATGAGGACATATAAGGGCATTACCCTGGTAGAAGCAGGTTTTAAGGTGGTCGTCCCCGTTGGTATTAAGTGCCCGAGCGCCTGCACCGAATGTACCCAGACACTTCGGCCCTTTGTTTTAATGTGTGGCTGGGAAACCATGTTTTGTATTGGTAGGAACCCACTACCTGTATATTCTCCCTGCCCCAACAGGCAGGGTACGAGAAGGAGGGGTCTCTCCCTACAGGATGCCCAGTTCTCCTCCCACTGCATAGCTCACAATTTTACCTGCAATCTGGGTTCTCCTTCCCCCTTTCTCTCCACCCACCCCTTGTTCTTTATTAGTTGTCTTTATTTCTTGTTTCAAATTTGTAGTGCTAGCACAAATTCCTACGGATGATTTTATGACTGTCAGTAAGCATTCCCATTGTTTACTATTGTTGTATTGTTCAAGGTAACAATTATGCCACCTGAACTTTGTTCACTTTTAGTTGATTTAAACAAGGCCGATTGTAGGCCTCATTTTTTGTATGTGTATGTTTCTCTTCCTATTCTTTGTAAAATACCTTCAATAAATACTAGGGATGCACCAATACTGTTTTATCAGTGAGTATCAATACCTTTGGTCAAGTACTCGCCGATACCGAGTACAGATACTTTGCGATGCAATTTGCATTAATGGATGCATAAATTGCACTGCAAAGAATAGAATGAGATTTGAACAGGAATGCGATTCCTGTCCAATTTGCATGCGGTTTCCCCACTGCTCCTGTGTGAAACCAGGCTTATCATAGCCTGAGTTCACATAGTAGCGGTGCAGGAAACCTCCCTGTAGGCATCCCATGCTGAGTGTCAGTGGTAGGAGAGGAGAGAAAGAGGCAGGAATTTGAAAACACAGCGCTTTCTTTCCTCTCCTTGCAGAAATGACAGTCAGCACCATCACATGGTATCAGGAGTGTTTTCACGAGTACAAGTACCCATGAAAATACTTGGTATCGGCACCAATACTGGTACCAGTATTCAGGTCCGGTGCTAGACTATTTTGTGCTCTAGGCAAGACCAGGTACTTGAGCCCCCCCCCAAAAAATAGATACATTTTAAAACGGTAGAAAATATTAAATCAACAAAACATTAAAACTGCTAAATTTCTTTTAATTCACAAAATAAGTGCCATAAGATGCCAACAGCACCAATATTAAAGACAAAATCAATGTCACGTACGGACTTTATCTGTGGCAGGCAATGGCAGGGTGACAGTTGCAGTGAGTGGAGGATGATGGACCCACATGACGGAATTCTCCAGGCAATGGAGAGAGATAAAACGCTATGACTGCAGGCAGCCCAGCCCACACACACAGAGCCCCTGAACTGAGCTATCCCACACAGTGACAGATCCGACACAGCACCACTGACACAGATCAGCAGGCCCAGCAAGCACCAGAGTAGCAGGCTGGGGGTTTGTGATGATGTCATCACTCACTTACCTTCATTACCTTCCTCTGCAGGCGCAGCTCTGTGTTTGCTGATGAATGGGAAGAGAAGGGCTGGAATTCCACAGTTATCAGCAGATGCCAGCCAACTGAGTCTGAGAGGAACACTGGAAGGAGCTGCAGATCAGCTGCTACACTAGCCCCAGACACCCAGCATCTTCCTCTGTCCTTTCTTCCTCCACTCTCCTCGGCTGAAGGATCATTCATGACATGGCAGTGTCTCACACAGAGACAGGGCTGGCCTGTGTTGTGCCCAGATGCGCCTAAGTGGCAGGGCACCCTAGGTGGCTGCCTAGTTTGCCTAGTGAAAGCACCTGCCGTGCCGGCATTGCTGCATCCCACTATTGAAACTGAAAAAAATAATAAATAGCAATTTCAGTTTGTGGTGCTCAGATACTATTGAGTTCCACTTTTTGCTTCTACTTGGTCAACAAGGAGGGGAGAATACTGCAGCTAATATACTAACTATGCAATATACTAATGATAAATATTACTATCCATAATATTAATAGTAGCCTATAACACAATTTGTAAAGAAAAAGTACAAACCAGTGTGAAAATGAAAAATTTTTTATTTTATAAAGAAAAATATCAGTTTATTTGGGGTTGCTAGGAAGTCCAGAACCCATAAATGAGTCTGTTGAAAGTTCTTTATTGCTCTGTCTCTAAAGTCACTGTTCTCTAGCGATACCTGATAAAAGTGAAGTGCGTTTTTACAGAGTTTCACAGCTGCCATTTAGGGATTGCTACAGTACTGTGACATATTAAAGGGAGCAAGGAAAAGCTTAAAACGTTCTCTATGCATATGTTTTGGTTAGATGGCATAGCAAGCAGAATGGCATGGTTTATACGAGGTAGACTTCTGTATGGCAAGTCAAAATGGACCAGTAGTATTTAGCCTCGTTTTGGAACAAATGGTCTGCTTTTACATTCCTCAGAATTCAGATATTCACTGAGTTTGCTTCGTGATGCAATGCGATCTTTGTATGCAGTGAGGAGGGGGAATGACGACAGGCAGTCAGGGAAGATATTGAGCTGACAATGAAGGACATCCAGTAGGTTGTAGTCTGCATAGGAAATCTGTAGAAAGAAAAATATAAAATTGAATTTTAACAGCAAAAATAATATTCTGTTAGTGATCTGTAATTCCTTTTGACTACCTTTGTGTGTCTTCGAACAGTCTTTTAAAAAGCAGAACTCTGGCCCAAAACCAAATATTCCAATGAAATGTATACAGTATGTGTTATGTTATAGATTATTGTGTACACTGTGTAGCAGAGTGGGATTTTGGTGCGCTATGCCCTCCCAACCTGTCACTGGTTGTCAAGGATTCTGTCGGCTTTATAGCCGACAGGCTCCTAACAATCAGCATCGGTAACAGTAGGCGGAAGAACTAGTTCTCCATCAGGACCACTCTCTCCTTCCCACTCTTTGTTTTTCATACAGGTGGACACCCTCATTAGTGTTCGCTTCCTTTGTCTAGTCTGGGGCTACCTGCTCGAGTGTTACTTTTTATCTAATTGTATACAGTTTTGTTTTACCTCTAATATTCCTTGTGAAGCAGAGCTACAGTCTCCTATGTAAAAATTAAAATTCAGCAGCTACCAAAACTGTAGCTGCTGACTTTTAATAAACAGCCACTCACCTTTCCTGGGTTGCAGCGCTGTGCTCGGCCCAGCTGTTTTCATCCCGGGTGTCTCTCTCCGCGGCATTGGCATCTTTACTAGGAGCACCAGACTGTGACAGCTTGCGGTTTCACAGCTGGTTGTCTACTGTGCTTGTACAAATGGCGCTGCTCACTGTGAGTGGTCCGGTACTCTTCTGGGACCTGTCTCGCATGAGGGTTTCCGATCTCCTAGGTGGTCGGAGCTGAAGTGGGAGCAGGAGGTCACTGTAAAAATCAGGTCCCTGCTCCCCCCTCCTCCCAAAAAGGTCAATTCCACAAACAGGAGCTGGGGAGGAGGCCTTAAAGCAGGAGGCCTTAAAGCAGCACTTCCCCTTTTGGATGGAGCACTGCTTTAGTTATCATGGGTCTGTTTTGACATTTGTTTAATTCCGGTTGGCCAAATTTTTTTTAGTGAAAGCTCTTCAGAGTTCAGAGTGCTGTGCACTGACCAGCATGCTTTGACACTTGGCTTTTGTTTTTTTTTCATTTTGTCAGGATCCTTCCAGAGCCTGGAGTGGCTCTGTGAAGTCAGTGGACAGTGGGCTTTAGCCCTCTATCAGCTGATTCTGGGTCACACGAGAGCACAAGTACGTACACTTCTTTGGCCATACTTCCCTTTTAAAACAAAGTGCAATATTTAAAAAAAAGAACCATTTCATTTGTGAATAACTTTGCAATGCTTTTTACCAAAATCAAAAATTTTAGTATCAAAATAAAAAAAAGTGCATTTTTTTTTAGTTTTGTTATGTTTTTGTCTATGGATTGCATAAAAAATTAAATAAGTTTTGTAAGACAATATCACCAAAAGAAAGCCATATTTGTCCTAAAAAAACAATATATGTATTAAAGTGTTACTAAACCCATGAACCTGCATTCACTATATCTGGTCTCCCACAGTACACAGAACATGGAAGTGCAATTATTTTAGTAAATATAAACTGCTAAATACCCTTTCTCATCAGCAGAATATAGCAGTCTGGTGACGTCTATCAGTGTCCAGCAGAGCACTGGTTAAAGCTTGTAGGATGAGTTTTCATTCTCCCCTGATTGTCCTATGAGGCTGCATAACCCCTGACCCTCTGTCTGGACAGTGCTGATTGGCCCTGTGCTGATCACATGCACTGTCCCAAGAAAAAAAACTATCTAGCAATACACACCAAAAATGAGCATGTGCAGCTTGCCCCCAAGGCTCTGTTCTATCAGCAGATGGACTGGGGACAGTAAAAAAAGGAGAGTATCAGAGAAGACAGGATCAAACATTCTTTTTACACAATGCAGAGAATTAACCCCTTAGGTTCCACTGTGAGTATAACAAGCATGCATGCAGACTGATTTTACTGTTGTAGGTTTAAGAACACTTTAATTTCTTGTCTTAAAGGATAAGTTCACCTTTCGTAACATGTTACACCCATATTCAGTTTGCTTATCGCTAGTGAAATGCTTTAGAGGCTCCAGAAACAAAAAAATAATAAATGCACATTTTTTTACCTGCAAAAAAGAATATGCATTTATTATTTGTTAAAAAGTGAACTTATCCTTTGAGTAATGACAAAGGTACTGCTGAAAAGAACAGACCCACAGCAGAAGCATAAAAGCGGAAATGGTTAACATGAAAAATGAGTACAGTATACTTCAGCCACTTGAGTCACAAAGCCTTTTTCCAGAGACCAATACTTTTCTGACCAATACTTCTATACCTTTACATCTTGCAAAGACCACTAAAAATACCCACAGTTTGGGTATTTTTATCTTTTTGAGAAACAATTACTGTACTATGATAAGAATCTGTTTTTTTTTTAAACCAGTCATAGATAGATCGAATCTCAGCAGGTTCAGCAGGGGCTGGCCAAGATTCAATCCATCTATGGGAAGGCTGGCTGTACTGAAGTTGATCCATCAATCGACCTCAGTACAATTAGCCTGTTAGATTTTTTGCATGTGTCTAGTGCCGGTGGCTATAGCTGCCATCATCGTGTTCTGCTGGCTGGGAAGGCTCACCACTGGCAGAACACAATAACACAGCGGGGGGGGGGAAACAAGCAATTTTTTTTTTCATTCCACCCATGGTAGAAGTAAAGAAAAGTGTATTGTCTATGGCCTGCCTTACCTCCCGTCCCTACCAGGACAAAGAGACTGAAGTTTGTTAATAAACTGTAAGTATAAAGGTGCCTAATCTAGCCAGATAGAGCAACAATCTCATCTCCATAAAGCAGCTACTGACAGTCCAATGTTCAATGCACACAGCTCAGACATATCATTAAATATCTAGACCCATTGTTTCTTCTACAGCGTGCTTAGTGCCATTTTCTTCTCCCTTCTCCAAAATCTAAACAAGAATGCTTGCCCAATTACTAATTGTGATGCCACTCTTGGAGGTTTTAGCAATGATTCCTGCAATACATAACAAGTGCAATGGGTGATTTTTGGTTACACTACTACTAAAAATCATCTGTGTGATTTGGGTCTGGTGTTCTATTGCTTATCAGGGGTTCTGGTATATGCGAACCTAACATCGGCAATACTAATTAATACATATTGTTTAAATCTTTTGTTCAATTTACTTTACAGATGTTGGCTGCTGAGTTACCTTGTCTCCCACCAGAAACTTGGTTCCATTAGAATTTTTAGAAAGGACCTTTTCAAATGCAGATAGCAGATTTGGTAGATCTTTTTCATACTTCTCCTTCCCAGTTTCCTGTTAAACAAAATCGACTCTAATGAGAACATCACTGTATTTGTAATAACTTAAATTTAGTCCATTTATTTTAAAGACCATTTCCTATCCTATTGCTGTGTTTAATTCTATTTTATATGAATTACCTATCTTTATTTGCGCCCTAGTTGAATTGTCAAATCAGGCAAATAGCAGAAGCACTTAGAGGAAAATGGTACTTCAGGAGTGATTGACACAACATCCTGTGTACAATAGGGATGCACTCAACTCTAGTTGTTTGGGCATTCTTCTGAATATTGGATTTTTTGATGTTTCAGCTGGAGCTGAACATCATATATAGTAGTGGTATTCTATTTGGTCAATTATGTCACCTGGGAGACCATTCCCCTTTCTTTACTTCCACTCAGGAGACGTCTTTTGTGGCAAGTCAGCGATGAGATTGGATGTTTCCATCAGCTGGCTGGATTTTTTTCTTTTGGCAGGCATCAGGTGTCATTCATCAGGATCAATGTAGATCTGCATTGCTGCACAACATGATTGACAATAAATGTACATTGTGGGACATGAGAGCATGTGACCTGGTGTGGTTCAGGAGAGGGAGGGTTTCATGCTTGCCTTCCTGTTCCTTTCCTGGCCTGACAATCTTCAAGTTCAGATAAAGTTCTAGTATGGATTTTTAAGGGACCATGTGCCATTTTTTCCCCTTGACATCCATTTCAGACTTTCATCAAGGATAATGGTATGGTATGTATTTTTGTGCCTTTTTTTATTGTGGGGTGTGTCCCCCATTAACATCTATACTAGACACTCATTTAGGATAGGCCTGGTATAGATGAAAAGAATTCTCAGCTCTTTTGTTACATGATGGTTGCAGCTGACACTCCTAAGACTTCCTTTGGCAACTATGCACCTGTTTATTAAACTGCCAGTTACTGTTACCCCCTGTCTGATCATTTGGACAATGACCTATTCCATTAAAAATGTCAAATAATTTTTTCCAATATTGTTTTTGCAAATACGTACAAATTCAAAGAACATGAGGCGGATAAACTTCAGTCTTAGGTCTTCCACCCCATCATTCATCATGTCAATGATAGCAACCTCCTGTTCATTGCTTCCGGCGACACCTGAATGCCAGGGAGAAAGTGTATAAATGAAGCCATATGAAATCATTAATAGAAAGATCATGTTATATATGGATGTTCATCTTCTATTGTAGATTGTATATCTCATTGACTAGCCTAATTTGCAAGATTTTCTCAAACAATAAATCAAACTTGTTGGTTTACCTCTCTTTCTTGTGATATACTGCACATACTGTGCTTAATGGAGATGGGTCTGTAAACCACCATTGTCCAAGTACACAGCTGTCTTTTGCATTCTTGCAATTGGGCAAAATGGAAGCATAACCCATTTGGGACAGTATGCAGATAAAACAAAGTATAGTATATAGCAGTGGTGTGCAATAAACAAACTTACCAAATTTGCGTCCTAGGTATCTAAGGATGGCGTTGCTTTGATACAGAACAAAGTCTCCATCACTGAACTGAGGCAACTGACCAAACACCTGTGAAAGATCATGTCAGATTTACAAAATTCACTCATTGATGGAACAGTCCCATAAACAAAAGAAAATCAGTCATCCCCAACACTACTTTTATGTTGGTGGAACATTGGTGAAAACCCACATCGATACTCCCACCACTATTTCTTAGCTTTGCCACAGGTACCTTCTACGGTATTTGATACTTCATCAGAGTCATCTCACACTTCTATTGAAATTGTAGGTAGCGGATCATCTAATGTCTCTGGGTGCTTTAAAAAAAAGGTTTTAAAATGAACTTACTGATTCTTTCTTCACGGGACATTTTCCACCAAACCAATCGGGAAACTGAATCACGTCCTCAGTCCACTTAGCTCCATTATCAGCCAAGATCAGACGAATGGGTTCCCCTCTTCCTATTGGTGAACATGTAGTTTTAATAAACAGGAGCTGGAATAATAACACCTGGAATATTTTTGTTTGCCAGGGTTAGCACATTCTTCTTTTTTTTAAACAGTAACTACTTTGAAACAGTACTGAATGAATTCTGGGAATTAAAACAAACAATACAGTAACATTATCATGTGTTCTATCTTAAAGTACTTAAATTATAAATAAAGGCAAAACCTTCTTTTTTTCATTCTGGATAGAATGTGGGAGGGTTATAACATCTGTCAGTTTTTGTTTGCTATCTGTATCCCATAGGGGACATTTACTTTCACTTCCTATCCCATAGCCAAAACAGGAGGTGAAAGGAAATCCCTCCAATCCCTCAGCTGCGACTAAAACGCGTTGCTTTACTGGATGTACTTTTATAGCCAATAAAGATTTTCAACGTTTGAATCCACTTTCTGGTTGCTGGCTTATATCCAAGCCAATTATTTTAGTGCTAAGGGAATTTGAGTAAGCCTAACTGAAAATAATTCTATTCATTTTGTGGCCATTCACTTCCTGGTATAATATTCCTTGGATCTAATCACCATTCAGGCTTGGTTCCCTTTCCGTGATATGCGAAAATGAGGCTTGGATGTTTTAGTGTTATGGAGCACAGTGGAAATCAAAGTGAGGCTTGGTTTCCCACTTCCTATATAAGTTGTGGTAGTCCAGCATGGCATCTGTACCCCAGAGGATGTCAGGTGTGACTAAATGCATCAGTAGGAGCTTGCTGTGATGTCATCATGCTACCGGAAGACTTCTGCTGGGCACTGCCATCTTGGATGTGATGTCAGCAGCCCCATCAGACTCAGAGCGTCTCAAGTGACACTTTATAGTATTCCCCTTGGCTTCTTCCCTGGTTATGTATGCACAAAGGTTATGTATGGAGGTGAAGGTAGGGGTGGAGGAAATGGGATAGCACGGTGAGTAACTGGATGATGTCAGAAGTGAAGGCTGTTCATGCAAGTAGTGAGGGGGCTGTGCAAGGAAATTGACTCTACCTGGAGAAACCAAATTTTTTAGCACGTTCAAAGGCATGCTTCAAGTGAATAAAAAAAATAATTTATGGAGAAGGGAAGAAATGCATAAAATACTTAATATTTCTGTGCTTTTTACTTGCAATTTTTAAGTTGGTGATAGGGTTAGCACTTCTGCCTGGCAGTACTAGGGTCATTGGTTTGAATCCCAACCATGCCTGGAGTTTGCATGTTCTCCCTGCGCCTGCGTGGGTTTCCTCTGGGTACTCAGATTTCCTCCCACACTCCAAAGACATGCTGGTAGGTTAATTGGATCCTGTCTAAATTGGCCCTAGTATGTGTATGTATGTAAGTTAGGGACCTTAGATTGTACGCTCCTTGAGGGTTAGGGATGTGAATGTACAGTATATATGTAAAGCGCTGCGTAAATTTACAGCATTATATAAGTACTTGTAATAAATAAAAATAAATACTTTAAATATTAAATATGAACATGTCCCTAGTGGAAAACCTGTACAGTCTTAGTTGAGTTCTCTCAAAAGTTGTTTATCTGGTTTGTATGCTTATTCTCTAGTTGGTTACTGTTGAGCTAGTTGGAATCTGTGACCCGCATATTTGTTCTGGGTCAGTGAAGCTAAAGGATCACTATGGCAGCCATCAAGACAAAACCTTATAACAAATTAAATATATCACTGAGAAATAGGAATTAATGGAGGAATGGTAGAGGAAGGGAGATACTGATAGATGCTAAGGCATGACAATGTGTATGTCATTAACTTATCAGATGCTAATGGTAATTTGGGTATGGTAACCTGTACTGTACGTGTAATGTGAAAAAATAAACTAATTTACGTACCTTTCAGTGGGAAATAAGTTAAAACAAATCCAGACACTGCAAAACAATAAAAAGTAAAAGAAATCAATCATTAAACATAACCTAAAAAAATTACATGGCTAGGTACTGTAAATTTAGGGACCTTGATAAATTTAGGGACCAGTGTCTTTTAATAGTTTTATGATATGTGAATTATATTTTGATGCAGCATAAAGTATTACTAATAGTGACTGCATGTTCAAACAGCATCTTGGCATTCTTTCACTGATAAGATATTATTATTATATTATTATACAGTATTTATAAAGCGCCAACAGTTCGCTCAGCGCTGTACATTACAAAGGGGGACAGAACATGTGACAGTACAGTAACAATACAATGCAAAACATGAGGGGATTGAGGGCCCTGCTCCTTCGAGCTTACAATCTAGGAGGGAGGGGATAGTGGTACGGGAGGAGATAGCTGTGGGGGATGGAGTGGTAGGAAGAGTGGTCAAACAAGGAAAGTCGATTTTTTTTTTTTTTTGGCCTACTTGTTTTAGAAATGATCAAAATTGCATTTTGTACAAACTCTTATTTCATGCACCACATTTTTAAATGATTCAGCAGTGATTACCGTATATTTACAATCAATCACATTTTTAAAATAATGTTTAAATTTCAAAAATCATAGTTCTGGTAGACTATTTTTGTGTGTGAGACTCCCTCTCAGAGTTTGCATCAACGTGCTGTATATTTTGTATTCATTTTTATTGGCATTCTTTGATTGCAAGTTTAAATGTTGCCTGGCCATAGTCAAACAAGGAATGCTACCTGCCATAGACAATTGCCAAAGGATGGGAAGATCTATATTTTAATATTGGTGGGTTTTTTCCCACTTTTAGTTTTATTAGTAATTCTCAAATTTCAGCTTGCAACAACAACCTCTTATTTCGAGCACTGCAATGCTAAATGCTTCAGTGGTGATTAAATTAAAATCATGCACATTTTTTAAATAGTGTTCAAACTTCAAAAACATTAATCTTTCTGGCAGATTATTCTGCACAAGAATTAGAGTTCATATCAATGTCCTGTATATTCTGCATTTATTTGCACTGATACTCTTTGATAAGATAGCAAGTTAATATGTTACCTGACAAAAATCAAAGCAGGAAAGCCAACAGTCATAAACAGTTTGGCAAAAGAAGTGAAGATCTACTTACTATTGCTTGTCCAGCTGGTGTGCTGTTGTCAGAAATTTCTAGTATAGTATGTCCCTGATGACTGCACTAGACTTCAGTGCCAAAGGTTTTTATAGAAAGCAACTACTGCTGAGTCATAATGATGGGTATGATGGGAGGAACATAAACAAGCTTCACAGAAAGCAGGCAACGTACTGGATTTTCCTGTTTTATAATAGAAATGAGATATTAAGAATGGAATAGTTCAAAGTTCAGAAGCTGCAGATAAAATGTGTCAGTGAACTGCTGAGGTTATTAAGGAATTAATGAACATTTAATAGAGTGAGAATGCTTTCTAAATTTTAGTTTTGAGTTTTGTAATATTCATTGAAGCCAAATGCAAAAGGGATTCTATTTCATCGCTAGGACTTCATGCATATGGACATTTAGAAGCTCAAAAGTGCTCAATCATAACTATCTCAGTGCTTTACCACACCCAGGGAGCTGCAGGTGGCTTTTACAGCTGGCCATTCAAGTGAAAGGCACTATACAGCCATATAAATGTTAATGTTCTTGTGCAGTGGTCTCCAAATTGTGCCCCAAGGGCTGGATGGAGTTGCCTTTATCCAGCCCTTGGGGCTTAATTCTCCTCCACTGTCAGAAACAGTGGGGCATAGTTTCTGCCACTGACACCAATGGTAGGACAATATTCCTCCAACTGACTCCCAGCGATGGGGCACTATTCCTCCCACTGACACCAACGATGAGGCACTATTCCTCTCACTAACACCAACACTGGGACACTCTTCCTTCTACTGACACCAATGATGGGGCACTATTCCTCCCAGTGACACCAATGATGGGGCACTATTCCTCCTACTGAATGTATTCTCTCTTAAGAGGAATTTGAGGGGGGATATGATCAACATGTATAAATACATCAGTGGTTCATATAGTGAACTCAGTGTAGAGTTATTCATCTTAAGTTCATCACAGATGACAAGGGGACACTCTTTATCTCTGGAGGAAAAGAGATTTAATCTCCAAATATGGAAAGGTTTCTTCACAGTAAGAGCTGTGAAAATGTTGAACACACTCCTTCAAGAGCTGGTTCTGGCCAGCTTAGTGGATTGCTTTAAAAAGTCCTGGATTCTTTATTGGATACACATAATATAACTGAATACTAACATTTATAAGTAAAGTTGATCCAAGGAATATCTGATTGCTTTTTTTTTTCTCCTGCAGGAGCAAATTGGATCATGTTTTGCTGGGTTTTTTGCCTTCCTCTGGATCAACTATGGGTGTAGAATTATAAAAAAAATGTTTTTCCCTTTTTATGGTTGAACTAGATGGACTTGTGTAGCAGTGTAATTAAGGATAAAATATTTTTTTTTTGAAAAGTGAAAGGTTTTTTTTTTTTTTTTGTGATTTTCTCCACCTGTTTGTCCTGGTGAATACTATTGCTAGAAATGAAAGAATGGACAATTGTTTCAGTAAAAAGGGGAAATTTACGTTAATGTGCAGATATTTTCTGTCACTTTTGTGATTATAGGTCAGGAAGGAACAGAACACAAATGACAGGGGTGTTAACCATTCCCTACTTCATCCAAAATGAAAAAAAAAAAAGGTTTACCTTTACATACAGTATACTTAAATCTGAACTCTGAGCACAAAAACTTTCATTTTAATATATTCTTTAAAAACCACAATAGATAACAATGGATATTCATCCATAGTTTGTTCACCAGTTGCCTTTACAAACCCAGATATTAACTTTCACAATTAGCAGTGACATCATCACTGAGCTGTATATAATCTGGGCATAGAGCACAGCTGTGAGAGGGACTCATCAACTTCACATACTGCAGGGTGCCTGCAGAAAACTACAGGAGGGGAGGAGACAAGACCAGTCACCATGCACCAGGAAAAGGAGCAGAAGTGACCAGTCTTTATTACAGGAAGTTCATGCACAGAGAAAGTTTCACAAGATTATTGCACAGATCTGAAAGAAATACACAAAGAACCATGATTCAAGTAGGAACAGGGGCGGACTGGCCATTTGGAAACTCGGGCACTGCCCGAGGGCCCGGGGTCAGTAAGGGGCCCCATGAGATGCCCCTGGTACCTTTTTCATAGGCTTTTTTGAGTTTGGGCAAGGACACAGGGGCCCCATGATCCCCTATTGCCCAGGGGCCCCATGAGTTGTCAGTCCACCCCTGAGTAGGAATACACACACCTGTTATATATGCAAAAAAATATTTGCTTATCGTGGAGTTCAGCTTTAATTTTGTGCAATTTTCCACTCCAAAAATGTAATCTCTGCAAATATCACCTTTTGCCAAGTGAAAAAGAAGATTGAGATAAAATTACAGTCAGCAAGGGTAAAGCTGAGTACACACTATAAGAAAATCAGGTAAACAATCATCTGGTTTTCCTCAAGGTTTCACAGCAAGTCGAACTGGATGATAGTACTAATTGTACAAAAAACGACAAAAGCTTTTTTCTTGTTTGCCGTAGAAATGTGGTAGTGTAGGTTAATGTTGTCTATTGTTTCTGATCATGCGCAGTCTTTTGTATCCATTTTTTCTTGTATGAAAACAGAACACATTAAATGAAAATCGTTAATTCTCTTCACAAGCAAGAAAAAGTTTGAAGTTTGTCGCTTCAAAAATTTTAATTTGGAAAGTCTGAATAAGATTTCGAAAGTTGTGTGCACACTATCCGAAAATCGAACGATTGTTCTTTGTAAGGAATTTTTCTTCCGATTTGTGTGTACTTAGCATTACTTGGTACCATCAAATTCGCAAATGAAGAAAATCTCTTCTCTGAACAAGTGTGCTGTCAGTGACAGATGAATAGACGGATAGATCAAACTGACATAATGCAACAGGCGTCCTTGCTAGCTTCACCAATTAATGGTAATTCAGATGCATCTCATGCCTTGCTTCCCTTTTTAGATATGGGTAATCCTAGGCATAAATGACAAAAGACAAGAAGGGCACCCCAGTGTCGTGCATTGCCTATGGTACCATTTATTGAAATATAAAACACAAATTAGTATACAGTATTTACAAACCCAGCTGGGTATCAGGCTTAGAAACGCAAAGCGAAGCTCTGATAATAGGCTTGAACCACAAATCTAGGTTGGTATCAGCAACATCACATTGCAAGAATAGGCTCTAACGTGTTTCAAGGGCTATACCCTCTTCATTTGTGTTTTATATTTAAAAAAATGATACTGAGAGTAATGTGCACCCTTCTTGCCTTTTGTCATTTACCTAGTGCTGTGAGAGGCGAAAATTGTGTACTTTTAGATATTTATGCAAAAAGGACCGTGTATATGATTTTATACATGATTATGAACACTTTCAAAAAACTATATATATTTAAATTGTTTATTTTTATCACTTTATAAAATGCAAAGTGAGCGAGTCAAATAAAAATCTAAATCAAATCAATATTTGCTGTGGCTACTCTTTGGCTTCAAACCAACATCAGTTCTTACACTTGCACACTTTGAATACTTGCACAAAGTCAGGGATTCTGAAGGATTAGTCAGGTGTCTAAATAATCATTTAAAGTTATACCAAGCAGGTGTTAATGATCATTCACTTCATATGTAGATTGAAGCACAGTAATTAACTGAAACAGAAAGAGCTGTATAGGAAGCTTAAAACTAGGTGAGGAACAGCCAAACTCTGCTACTAAGATGAGGTTATGGAAGACAGTTTCAAGGCACAAGTCATGCACCATGGCATGACTATTGCAGGAACATAACAACATGACACAAGGTAGTTACAGTAAACTGAAGCAGCAAAGTCTCCCACATACAAAGATTTCAAAGCAGACTGGGGTTTCAAGATGTGCTGTTCCAGTTCTTTTGAAGAAGTACAAAGAAA